TGTGTGTGTGTGTGTGTGTGTGTGTGTGTGTGTGCATGCGTGTGTGTGTATTTTCCAGACATCAATAATAAATCTTTTGTGTTATGAGGGGTAGTTATTGCTGTGGACAGTTATACAGTGTAGTGCAGCTGACATTGGGCCTCAAACATGTAATTAAACCAGTCTCTCTCCATTATAGGTTTTTCCAAGGCTCCGGTCCTCTGCCGCAGCACAAAAGAAGGACACACACAGTCTTACCGACACAGGTGGGAACAGCCGCGCTCCACACTCTGCTGTGCTGGCAGGTTGCCGTCTTCTGGCCCTTCAGACTGAATCCAGGAGAGCAGAAGAACTCGCAGCGAGAGTTGAAGTAAGAGCCGTCCGAACACTTGTAGCCTCCATTGATGGGCATGTCCGGCTTAGCGCAGCGGATCTCTGTGAGAGAAAAGTTCAGTTCACAACTTTGTCTAAGGTCGTTGATAATCGACACCCAAACACCACACCTTCCGAAAAAGCCAAGACACTGGTTATATTATTATTAACTTATTAAACTACGACTTTGAAATCCTTTTGCAAAGAAGAGTCAAAATTCTGTCACAGACAAATTAAAAGTAGTTTGAATCGTTTGGACTTTTCATCAGAGCGAGTTCCATCCATAGTGGGGAAGTCATTTTCTTTCCACATTGACCAAGATTATATCAACATAGAAGATTTTGAGTCGATATTGATAATTATCATGATAAATGTCGCATTATAATTTCTGTTCACTTTAAAGATTGTTTGTTTTTTGCTCCTGAGGGTTAAACTTTCTTTATGAGCAGAGAAATATAAAACACTTTACAAACCTGAGGTCGATCATGTGTTTTACCTCCTCATTGTACTTCCACATTAAATAAGAAATACATTTATATAAACTGGACTTTTGTTTTATCGCTCTTCCCTAGTTTTGATCAGAGGCTGATTCATGAAAAAGTTCTGACTGTAAACGATGAGTCACACTGAACTAGATAAGTCAATCTCTAGCTTTTACTAAACAGACCCTTCAAACCCCCCCCCCACACTGAGCTGTTACTTCGCCTCACTCTTTGCTTGCTAATGACTTGAGGAATAGTTCTCTTCTTCTTCACATACTTGAGATAATTTAAACCCGGTGCATTCATTCACTGATATTGGCCTTTAATTAAAAGATATCAACCTCTCCGCGCTGACCTTTTAAATTTATGGTTTTCATTTTGCTTGATTATATCATTATTGCAGAACTAATCAGCCCCACTCTGTCTAGAAACGCCACTTCATTTATTTGGAGCAGCGGTGGGGGGGGTTTAGATTTAGTAGCAGCGGCAGTAATTTTCCATCAGTGTCTGAGTTACAATGGAGCAGTTTAATGCCCCATGTCTCATAAATACTGTTTCTTTCCAAAGAGGCTTCACGCTCGCCAAGAATAGACTCCGGGGAGAAGTAATGGCTGCAGGAAATTGTTTATGAATAAGCCTGATAAAAAGAAAATCAGCTGCAGATACGACTTGGAAGGAGAACCAGCTCCTTCCCGAACTTCTCCCCAAGAAATAACCTTGATGCTCAAAGATGTAAAAAATCCACTTTAGACAAAGCGATGTGTGGGTATGTGTTTTTTAAATATAGATGTAGATGTAAAAGAATACATTTAAAATCGAGGTGAAGTATGACAGATATGAAGGAAAATCAGAGTTCCACGATTACACCTAAACATATTTAAGACCTAGAACGTAATATTTTGAAATATTTCGGAATATTTAAGGCCTAAAGTTCAGTTTATTACAGTCACACACATACACTTCAGAATCCCTGCTGTGTGGGTGTTAGTTCTCACCTCTGCAGGCATAGTTAGAGGACCAGTGTTTGCTCGCCATGCACACCACCTCCGAGCTCTGGGTCTCGTATCCCTGCTTACAGCGGATTTTACAGCGCGTCCCCATCACGTTTCTGTAGTGCTCTCCTCTGGGGGTGCGGCAGCTCACATCGCCATGTTTTATCTTAATGGGCGCGCACCACGGGGTCCCTAAAAACAGAGGAAAGATGAAGACACTTATTTTTCCTCCACCGCATCAAGGCAATTATGTTTTATTCTAATTCAACCTGACTCTCAACAACACCACACTATGGGAGAGAGGGTTATTTATTTCAGTGTTTATTATAGGCTCAACAATATCTTACCTGAAGACTGTAAAAGCTAAAAAAAGACTTCCTCGTGCTCTAGAGTTCAGACCGATACGGTGGATTTCTCATTACCTTGTCTGAGACTTCCCATAATCCAACAGTGTCTCATGAGGCAAGAAAGATGGTCTCACTTGAGGAAAAGATAATGACGTAAAGAGAGCACTTAAATCTCAGAATGTGTGTGTGTGATGGAGGTTAAGATAAAAGTCTGTGTTTGGAGTGCGGCCAAATTTAATTCTTAGCTCTGGTTATAATGTGACTGCTTTCATTCTCACCCCGCTGAGATTTTAATCCGTGCGGAACTACAACACTGATTACAACGAACACAAACACATCACTTGTATTTTAGCACAATGGAGTCCTCATAACGTAACACTCTCATTGGTCCACGCATCTCTCCATGATGCAGAAGCTAGACGTTAAAGTCATGTGCTTCATGTACTCTTTGATTTATCACTAAGTCTTTTTATTGCCCTTCATTAAACTTTCTTTATTATTGATGAACAACTTTTCCACCTCAGCCAAGTGTAAGACGTCCACATCTGAAGATCGTGTATTTTTCCGCTGTATCTCATGACATTTTATGGGGGATTACATTATGGACTACTTCAGCTGGAACTCCAGGAAGTCACTGGTCCAGACCAGAGCTGCTTTCAGACATGCACTGACGTCCAGACATTCTCTTAAAATGTCCCAGAGGGTCTGGACGTGAGAACGCAAATGTCAGAGTCAGCTGCTCTGGACTTTTTGAAAAAACTTTTCCTGCAAAGCCCCTCGAAAAATGCTCGAGTGAGCCCACTTGTGATTGGAAAAGAAAAAAATCATACAACTGTCTCAGAATGAAAAAGACAAGAAGACGCAGTCGAAAACGCCGACTGGGAAAGAGATTCAAGAGCTTTTGATGATAAGGACCATGTGCTGAAAAAAAACACAACCTCCTGTTGTATAGAAATAGTCCAGCACACAATCCCCCGATTGAGCAAAACAACTATAGTGTCCCATCGGTCTTAAACTTTTCTTCTTCTTTCCTCCCAGGGAAGATACTGCTGCCTTCTCTACAACGCTTGCGTAAGAATCCCCTGTCTGACGCCAAGTTTGAGAGGCAACAAGGTTCGTTTCCAGCACACAGAAATCCAGATCTGCAGTTTGTTTCCTGCTGGCTCAGGACAAACACCAACACATTGTCCGCACACACTCGGAGAGGACACACACCATATTAGGCAAATTTTCAGTTGGAATGAAAAAGGGAATCCGTTACACAGCAAACCTCCCTCGCTCCCTCTCTCTCTGCGTGTGTGTTGGCAGAGTCTCCAGAGCCACTGAGTAAGAGAGAAAATAATACTACATTTCAGCTTTTACACACAGAGAGAGTTTGGTTTGGCCTGGACAGTAATGTTCCGTATCTAAGTGACCCTGAATTTAAAATTGGAAGCTGCTTTGACGGAACTGTGTCAGTTTACAAAACTGGCTGAATGAGCTGGTATTGAATTACGACTCTTTAGAGACGCAGTCAAATAAAAAAACAGTTTTTCTCATTTTAACCCTGTCACTTTGCATTGTTGCTCTGAGTATATAACAATCCTTGTCTTTTTTCTATTGCTTTAAAACTTTAAAACAACATTGTGTAACTTTAACTGAGCAGCAGCGCCCTCTGCAGTCCCAATCACTGAACCGAAACACAACCGAACGGTGGGTATTACCCATAATCCCCGGCTTCCTGGACCAGAAGAGCTGCTGCTGTAACGAACCCACCAAACTCTGTTTAAAATTCTTCACATTTGAACGTTTCCTGCTGAAGATGAAGATAAAAATAAATAGTTTTTAATGACTTCTGAGTCTTTTTAACTGATCTACAGTTCAGCTTTACTCTTTCACTTGCTGGACCTGATTCTGACAATTTAAGCTTTCAGTCAGTTCCAGACTTCTCACAGGAGTCTCACCAAAAACAGACGTTCAGGGTAAAGAGTGGGATTGAAGGTGGAAACATTCTCCTTATTCCAAGTCACTGAACCATCACAATCATTGTGAAGGTGATATTTTAGGGTAAAAAGTTGCAGTGTTGTTTCAAACGTTTCATTCTTTTCCACGCCACGTCTTCAACCCAGGGGCATAAATTCAATTTGATTGAGGACAAATTGCTGCACAATTGTCTGTTAGCTAGTGGGTCACTGTAGCTGTAAGAAAAATCAGAGGTTAGTGATTGGATGTGAGACTTTGCTGACATTTCAAAATTAATATTAATCTCCTGATCTAACGAAGCTGATCAAGGAGGTTTGGCTGGAGGCTGACAGTTTACAGCACCACATATATCACTGCAGGTCTATCACCCTACTCCAACACCACTTTTGAGCAATCCAGTTAAATGTTAAAGATTTTATTTAAATCCCCTTCATCACTCTGAAACATCTCAAGAAGAGGAGAAGATGCCATTTCACTTTGATTCATTAAGACGAGAGGACGTGTAGTTAACTTGCAAAGGGCAGTTGGTCCTTGATAAACAATGAACACTCCCTAAAATGAAATGACCGTATGTGTATCTGCATGTTGTCACCTTTATATCGACGAGAATACCCGTCCTCATCGTCTCCGTGGGTGTACTGTCCTGACCCTGGGGGTGAGAGAGAAAAAAGAAAGAAAAAGCAACTACTGTGAGGAAAAGAGCTGCGTCCAAGATGTTAGGCAATGTTTGACAGCATCATCCTGGGCTTTTTTTTCTTTTCAGCCACACAGCACCAAGAGAAGGCTTCCAATCATTACATAACTTTTCATTTGAACCAGACTCCAGGGGGCCGATCTGAATCTTTTGGACAGGACACATCCAAAAAGATCCTTGATTTTTTTTCCCAGATGATTAGGAAAAATTGATTAGTGATTCACTGTGCGACCCCCATTTTGTGTTTGGTAGAAATGAAAGAAGAAGCTGCATTTATTTTGAAACAATTTGTTCCAAAACGGCTCAGATAGATCGTACTTACCGTGGACAGAGATTTAATTTGAGTCAACTCTGAGCAGATTTATCAGATGGAGCAAAAGTGAATTCAGATGCTAAAACTCGCAGTGTTCTAGAAGTGAGCTGTTTCTCAGAGCTGCTGCAGGGACACAGCTGAGTGACGCTGGTAAAAGACAAATGTGAGCAGAATTGTGATGAGCAAGGAGGATTATTTTGGGAAAGAAGAAGGAGGGATCAGGAGGAGCAGGTCAAGATGCTATAAAAACAGAGGGAAGAGGAAATGGGTGAGGAAGGGGTTAAAGTAAGGGGGAGGGGTGTTCAACCTTGGCCCCGGGATGTTCTGAACCTCGGTGTGAATATGTCCTCTGTTCGGGCTCCACAAGGGAGGAGTGTTCGAGCTCCTCCAGCTCCACATATCGGCCGCGTGTTGATCAATGAACCTGATACTGTGTGAGCACATCTCCCGTCCCCCATTTCTCATCATGGCTTTTCTGTCAGTTTAATAAAAAACTGTCTGGACCCAAAACGCTGCAAGTCACACACACACACAACAAGCTTTGAGGTTTCAGCAGTCAGATCGCACAGCATGGACTGTGCAGAGCGAACCCACACACTGAGTGAGTCAGATGTAGAGGTCTAATGAGAAAAAGTTTAGTGACGGCTTCTTAATGGGGAAGAGGCAGAGAAGGGTGTAGAAAACTAAACAGGTGTGTGTGTGTGTGTGTGTGTGTGTGTGTGTGTGTGTGTGTGTGTGTGTGTGTGTGTGTGTGTGTGTATGTGTGTGTGTGTGTGTGTGTGTGTGTGTGTGTGTGTGTGTGTGTGTCAGTTCTGTGACATTGGATATAACAACGTACACCATGTCAAACAGAGGCTACCTATTTCTGATTGGCTGGTACATATTATGATAAACAATAATAAACTCATACTCTTCTCCAAATGCAAAAAAAACGTATGGGTGTGTTTTTCATGAAGGTTGTGATATTTATTACAATTTAATAAATCTTCACAGAGCCACACGTATCTTCGAATGTCTTGTTTTGACCGAGCAAGGATCCAAAACGTAAAGATATTCAGTTTACTTTGATAGATGACATAGAAATGCACTTATTGTCTTATTTGACAAGTTGTAATCAGAAAACTGTCACTTTTTCTCAGATTTTCCTCATCGTTTTAAACATTTATCACTTCTTCAATTGATTAATTCAATCAAAAGTCTAAATGTATTCTCTAAATACGCCTCTCAACAGACGTCTTCATTGTTCAAAGCAGAGCACCACATACATAAACCCCAGTTCAGACATATAATCAATATCTCTCCACTGATGGAAGAGCACCTTCCAAAACCCCATTAAACAAATTGACCAATAAAAATGGCATCATTTTGTCCCTGTAGCATCCTGCAGATAATAAATGCTCAAACAATAAAAAATCTACTTGTGTTGCAAGTCCACTCGTTGTAGATGCACCATGAGACAATTTAGCAAAGCAATTGTTATTAATTTTATACATTTTTCTCTGATAAACATTATGAGCTGGGGTTTTCAGGCACAATCAGAATTGCCTATAAAATATTTATATGTCTGAAGCCAAAAGATACAAACAATAAATGTGAGCAATTACAAACAAAACAGAACGATGCATCCAGAGGAAGTTTATTGATAATTGTCTTGAGCTGTTTACTTTTGGCTCTCTTACCTCTCCACATAAACCAAGAGAACATATTCAACAGGAAATGAGCTTTAGCCAGAAATTTTACAAATTAATCATAAAATCTAATAAAACTCTTGTTTGATGTTGTCTTTGTGATAAAGGTCACGGAGGCGAGGTCACAGGGCCTTAATGTGTGTTAGGCCCCAACTAAAACTCTTCTTTTGGGTTTTTTTAAATCTCTGGATGATAAGTTGCATGGAAATAGATGAATTGATTAAATCCTCCTTTCTTTTATACATTCTTAATGTCTTTATTTGCATATCTAAACAGTTGCTGCAGTTATTTTTCTTGCCTGTAGCTGCCGGGGGCCTTGCTAGACTACTGAATATGTATAAAAACAGATGACGTGACTGCACAAAAAAAGTCATGGTTTTATTTGATGCTATAAAAACGATGTGTCATGATTGACAGCTTAGACCGACTCGTGATTGGCCGAGCATGTGTATCTATGGGATATCGCTACCCTGACTACACTCCCTGATCGCAACGGCACAGACTCTGGCTCCAAATGTGCGAGATGACAGTTTCGTGTTCGGGATGTTTCTGCTTCATATCTGAATATTCAGAGGAAGTGGAGACGCGTCCTCTATCTTTATGTGGAGTGTGTCATCTGGACCTGCAGGCTTGACACCACTCAGTCTGCAACTCTGCAGTAGGATTAAATTGACTGAACCTGATTTGACCTTACTGAAAAAAATCATTCCAGATTCAAAACGAGTCCAAAATGAGAATATGTGACATGAGACAAATCTTCACTCGTGTCTGAAAATCTGTCTGAGGTGTGATCAGACACCAGCGTCATCTTCCTGCTCAGTTCTCCTACTTTTAAAAGAGAAATATGTCTAAGTGGCAGAAGTGCAGACAGCAGAAAACCTCTGGGAGTGAGTAAGCTTTAAATTACAGAGGCTGATATTCCAATTAGCTTTTCTCTGCGGGTCTGTAATACACACTGTCATTATGTGAAGTCGGTTGAAGTATGGCTACAGGCGAACGGAGCAGAGGAGACAGCATGATTATGCAGTTATGTAATTTTTTTTCCAGCACTAATGATTTCTGTTCCAGTTATACTGTATTTACCAACACGTCTGCAACCGTCTGTAAGAGCTGCTTCTTATGTCACCATCGTGGTTAAAAATATACTTGTTCTGATGTCACATTTATGTCACATATGTATCTATGCATATCCTTTGTGTGAATCTATTTACACTTTCTCCAATCATCCCAATATTGGTGAATCTAATTCACATGGATTGTATAATGTGAGAGTTCTACCGTCTGTGATCTGAGACATGATATAATGCTGCATTTCCAGTAAAGGCTCCGATGCACATCATCACCTGACATCTCCATGATCCAGAAGTGTCTTGAGGACTCAAACACTTCACCCATCCCTCCGTTGGCATAGAGGTGAGTAGATAATGAGTGAATTTTCATTTTTGGGTGAACTATCCCTTTAAGTACATTTCAGCACCTTAATGAACTGTCTCTTATTTTATTTCAGGCTCAATTTGCTGAGTCTCAGAGACTCAAGAGCAAAGATGTGTAAAATGGCCTCAATCAAACATAACCCTGAATTACTCATAACGCTGCTGGATGGTTTGCAGCTGTTTGCTCACACATACATTAAATCAGTTTTATAAGGTGATAAAATATCGGTGTTGTGTTTACGGCCTTGCTCTGCTGCTCCCGGTATTATATTAATTAATACTAGCTCTTCATTAATAAACACTTAGCTCCTGATCTGTAGCTTAGGCCACACTTCTCACTCAGACACACACACACACACACACGTCTGTAGTCACAGTTTTTCAGTGATTGTGCTCTCTGGCATTCCCTCAGGTTACTCACTGTGATCTGTCTGCTCCTGACCCACATCAGAACAAGAATCATCATGGAAAATGTGATCTGCCTTTAATGAAAACTTGCTACAGGACAGTTTCTTTTAATTCCCACCCAGTTCTAGGCACACACACACACACACACACACACACACAACTGAAAACTGAACCAATTGACCCCTAAAACAAACACAAACATACCCCTGTAAAATAAACTCCCCATAAACACACACACACACACACACTGTGACATAGAGGAGCACAGAGCGAGAGAGAGAAAAAGAGAGAGAGAGAGTCGTGACTGTCGGCTCAACAAGCAGTTTTTAGTCTGTCAGTGTAAATCTGCTCTGCAGCTTCTCTTCATGTTGCAGCCTGTATGATCATATAGCAGTGGTGAGCCACTCTCATACCATCTACAGGCACATAGCCACAACACACACACACACACACACACACACACACACACACACACTGGTGTGTCTGGCTGCATCTTTTTCTTACTTTCTTTTTTTCGACTAATCATTCCTGTCACATTTTCCCAAAGTCTCAGGTGATGTCATTAATCGTGTTGTCAACTAACTAACTCTCACATCGCTCATAATTTCAAAGACGGAGCCAAAGTACTTTATAGATTTTTGCAAAAAAAAAAAGTTTAAATATCCATCAATCCTTGAAATGAACAGCCGCAAATTCAATGACATGTTATTTGATTGACCAATCGTAGTTGTTGCAGTTCGATCTCAGTGTGTGTTTGTGTGTGTTTCTGTTTTTTGGGATTTCTCCAGTAGACATCATGGGACCCAAAGCCCCGGTCCTAATGGAGCAAAGTGTTATTTCTGGTGTCCTGGTTCATGTTCGTGGTGAGATGTGAACTGTGGTTATAGGTTCAGGTTAGGGTTGAAGTGGTCATGGTTAAGGTTTTGGTTAGGCTGTCCAAAATGAATGAAAGTCAATGCAAAGTCTTGGTAAGGATAGAATGTGTGGTCAAGGTATTACTCATGTTGTGGGGACCTAAATGTGTTTACACAGTCACATTATGGAGACTTCAATCAAGTCCTCATGTGTAAATCAATTACATTATGCTGCAAAGACTTGTTTTAAGGTTCAGTTAAGGTTAAAGTTAAGGTTAAAGTTAAGGTTAGGTTAAGTTTAGGGTTAGGTTTAGACAAGTAGCAACTATGGTTATGTAGGTCAAAGTAATGGCCTCAGAAATATCTGTGTGTGTGTGTGTGTGGGACACAGAGACCTTCTGTGTTTGCTCAACACCAACCTCATCAGTACAGTAAAAACTTTCCAGACCTCATTCACTCACACTGTCAAGTTGAGAAAGTTTGTTTATCCAGTATTTAAACATTAGTATTAAAACGTTATCAAGGCCGCAGACATGTAAAGATCAATTGAAGAGTTACAGTTCTGGTGCAAGGTTTTCATCAGAGCCTCAGAAACGTCCCCCAGATGCACACTGCACTCCCCCCGCTGCCTGTCCACCCCCTCCACGTAAACACCACCGCGACTCACCAAAAACCAGCGGTGACAAGAAGCGTAAAACTTGTGCGTAAAAGTGAAACGAGACATCTTCCCCCAGGACAAACCTTTATAACTTGGCCTCATCCTCCAGTTCAGTGACTTCACACGTTCTACGCATTTAGTGTAAAAGATCAGACGGTTGATTACTTGGGGTTAATCGATAAAGTCACGGCGGTTGATGAGAGGCCCCTCGGTCGGTGCTTACCTTCGTACCCGGAGCAGAGACAGAGCTGGACGAGCAGGAGCAGCAGCGGCCACATGTCCATACCGAGCGGGGCGCGGGACGGTGGCTGTTCAACATGTGAAGCGGAGCCTGCAGGAAAACTTCCAGCGCATTCCTCCTTCCAAAGGCCCGCCTCTCCGTCCTCAAACAAGGGAGGACTCTCCTCACACAGCCCGGGCCACCGGGGCGCAGGACACTGACGCTCTGTTTCTGTGCGTAAAACCGTCACAGGTACTCAAGTACATCAACTGCAGAAATCTGATTGCTATTACTTTACCTGAAAACCTTACAAACACCCCACCAGCAAATCAGATTTCACTTATAAACTAATAAAAACTTGTAAATTAAACCAATGTTGTCCAATCTGGAGGATATGAACCCATTATTAGATCACATGATAAATCTGAAGGGACCCAAACATAAGATGAGAAAAGATAAGATAAAACTTTATTGATCCACACACTGGGGAAAGTCAGAATGAGTTAAACAAGAGAAAAAACAATAAAAAAGTTTAAAATAATTAAACATAACACATTTCACGAGAGAAATATTGTTTGTACAGAAATATTATAGAGTAAAGTGCAGTGGCACAGGATATAAAGATGGATGACATGACAGCTCCTCAATAGTTAAGCCAAAGCTGTCTCCATCGCCACCTGGTGGCTGGCTTCAGTATAGGTTATAAACCTTGCTTCCTCCATGTTTGCAGATGGGACATGCACCAGATGAAAAAATCTAAGTACTCGTCAAATAAATTTTTTCGCAAAGATGTTTCTGTGGTTTTAGATATTAGTTTTTATTTTTCCAGTAAGTTTGTTTTTAATTCGATATTTGATGCTATAAAAAGGTGAAACATCATGATTGACAGCTGAGACTGAATTACGCTTGGTGGAGGATGTGTACAGACTGTATCACACTTCTGTAGCCCCACCCCCTTCACCTTTGACTGAATATCCCAGAGGCTGTTCAATTTCTATCTCCTCTCATCATCAGGGAGAAGTTGAAGTAAAACACTGGAACGATTTCTCAGTTTCAAACACTGGTTCTCTTCTTATTTCACTATTTGCTCCAGATATGCAGATCTGACAGGAGGTCTAGTTGGATCCAAGTTGAAGTTGTGTGCGAGTTTCTGTAGAATATCTTTTAACTTTAAGTGGATTGAGAATGTCTCGATGTGTTTATAGCAGACAGCTGATTCTTCTTCTGTTTCATAAGAGCTGCTCATGTAAACAAACCTGCACAGCTGAAAGGTTTAGAGAAAGTTCAGCACTGGTGAAAAAGTAATCAGTGTTTAATTTCCTCCTCCACAAGCATGAAGTCGGGTTATAGAGCGTGTGTGTGTGTGTGGAGGCGAGTCCACACATGAAGGTATTGAAGCGTACCTTCCCTTGACTGGAAACAGGAAAAGGAGGCATGCGGGACGATTCCCTGAGCTGTAATTAAATGAGGGTTCGGCCAACTGTTCACGCCTCCATGAACGTGGCTCTCAGGTGAACAAAGAGTTAAAGACCTAACTGACTCCATCTCTGCTCACCTGGCTCTGAGGATCAGTCTGACAACTTTAATGTGACGTTACAGGCAATGATTTGGGATTAGGTCTGTCTCTGAGCTTTATTTAGTTGTGTTTAACTGTTGTTTACACACAGTTTAAGTGAGTTGGTGCTCTCAAAAGAATCTTTTTGGGTTTAAGTAAGTCAATTTGAATTCATGTTTTTAACCCTAAAGTGCATATGCACTTATAAAGCATGTCATTTCTGCAGGTAGTGAATAGCACATGCACGTTAGGAGTCTGATTTTAGTGCAGCTACAACATGAACATATAACAATCAGCTGCTGCAGTTCAACCATAATAATTATACAAAATCCAGGCAGAAACAAGGAATACAAAACAATACAATTCATATATGCAATTTAATAATTGAATCAAATCATATCCAATTATGTACGGAGAAACAAAATGGTAATTTAACTTGTGTAATCAAGCATAACGAGCATTTCCCACACTCTATTGTAAACCAAATGTATATTTTTAAAGGATGATCTGTGATAATCTGTTTTTTCTTACTGTCAACAAATCGCATGAAAAGACTAAAACCACCAATACAAAGTACTGCAGATGTTTCCAGAGCCTGATAACTTATTATTATTATTTCTCTTTAACAGAGCTCTGCTGCTGTCGGTGAGGGATGAAGGAAACATATTCTAGAGTCTTCAGAGGGATACAGATTACAAATGTAGACACTAAGATTTTGTGTTTGTGAAATGTAGTCGTACATCATTAAGTGTGTATGTGGACAAAACTTTCTTTTGACCACAGTGGAAACACCCAACAACAGTCGACAGGAACCTTTAACTTGCTTGATGTGTTAGACACTTCACTGCAGGTCCAGGTACTGTGGGAGAACATTGTTCCAGAACTTCTGCTCCTCCTCTGGGTTCTTCTCTCCTGCAGTTCTCTGCCTCGTCCTCGGAGCTGGTTCTGGTTTTTCTCTCTGTTGCTTCTCTTTTCTGTCGGGAGGCAACTTCTGTGTGTCCTTTCTTTTGGTTTCTGTTTCTTCTTCCTCTTCATCTCCCTCCTCTTCTTCCTCCTCCTCTGCTTCTCCTTCTTCTCCTTCCTCCTCTTCTTCCCCTTCCTCCTCTTCTTCCCCTTCCTCCTCATCTTCCCCTTCCTCCTCATCTTTTCCTTTCTCCTCTTCTTCCCCTTCCTCCTCATCTTCTCCTTCCTCCTCTTCTTCATCCTCCTCA